AAGAATTAAATTCCGTGTCAAGGATGATGGGCACATTAAGAAGGTTGCAGAGGCCGGACCATCGGGGTTGCAAGGCGTAACTGCCGCAACCTCGGCAGTCAAGGCTAAGCAAAAAAGAAAAGAAGTCAAACCTTCAGAGGGGCAAAGCTCTAAAGCAGTGCCAAAGAAGGTTAACACTTCGACCAAACACAAGGCTCGCCCTAAGGATGATAAGTCGAGGGAAGGAGCTAAAGAAGGAATAATCCCGAAAGAAGTCCGTACCGACTTGCAGGGGAGTGCTACAAACCCGCCCAGAAGGCTAGAAGCCACTGAGCGGGTGGCCGCTCCCATGGAAGGGGTAGAGGACACGGGAAAACCCGAAAGTTAGCCTTCAGTTTAGAGGAAGGCAGAGTAAAGGTCCTGCAGGTCAACCTTCATCATGCTAAAGCTGCGTCGGCGGTTTTGTGCAGAAGGTTTGACATGGAAGGCCTGGACTTGGCCCTACTGCAGGAACCATGGCTCCACGGAGGGAAGGTTGCAGGCTTGAAGCCGCAACAAGGTAAGTTACTATACGATGCGAAAGGAGAGACACCTCGAGCATGCATTGTATATGGTAACGAAGTAAACTGTACACTGATTCCGGATCTTTGCTCCGGAGACTTTGCTACAGGTATTTTAACCGCTTCCACCGAGGAAGGTAGTAAAAGATGGTTGGTCTGTTCTGCCTACTTCGCTGGAGAGAAGGTCTTCCGCCCAGGCATAGTAGAGGACGTTATAACCTACAGCCGAAGGGAGAACCTTCATCTAATACTGGGATGTGATGCCAATGCCCACCATCTGGCATGGGGGAGTACGAACATCAACAGTCGAGGTGAGTCTTTACTACAGTTCATTTTAAGCATGGGTTTAGAAATAGCCAATATAGGAAATAAACCTACCTTCGTTACGGCCACGCGCAAAGAAGTCTTAGATGTAACACTTTGCAGTGAAAAAAACGTACGATACTATAAAGAATTGGCATGTGTCAGAGGAACCTTCATGTTCCGACCATAGGCACATTCGATTTGATTTAATTACTTCGACTCGAATGGTGGCAAGGTTCAGGAACCCGAGAGAGACGGATTGGGAAGGCTATAGAGGCTCACTCGAGAAGTCTCTTGAGGGAGGAATCGCACCATAAAAGATACGGAAGATCTCGAACTGACAGTCGAAAACGGTGAGGGGAGCTGTTCTGGCCGCTTACCAGGAGAATTGTCCAGAGAGAGAAAAGAAAGGAAAGAAAAACACACCCTGGTGAGGAATGAACACTTACATAAGCTTAGGGCAGATGTAAGAAGGCTATTCAATAAAGCCAAATTCAACCAGGACTGGGCCATTTATAGAGAAAAACTGACGCAATATAATATGGAGATCCGAAAAGCCAAAAGAGACTCGTGGCGAAAGTTCTGCGAGGAAGTCAAACAGGCTCCCGCATGTTCCAGAATCCACAAGGTCCTGGCTAAGGATGGTATTGCGAATCAGGTCGGCCTCTTGAAGAAAGAGGACGAAACGTATGTAAAAACCCTGGAGGAAAGCTTAATAATGCTCACCAAGGTACATTTTCCCAGCTCATCCATTGACAATAATCCTTCGGTAGAGGTGGCTCATCCCAGAAGGCCTACTAAGGCGGACTGGAAATTAGCTACCGACATCACGAGACCGGAAAAAGTCAGGTGGGCCATCAATAAATTCCAGCCATACAAATCACCTGGAATGGACGGGATTTATCCAGTCTTGCTACAGAAGGGACAGGATGTGATCATCCCGCATCTAACAAAGATCTTCAAAGCTAGTTTGGCATGGAGATATATTCCAATCGCATGGCGAAGGGTGAAAGTCACATATATCCCCAAGGTTGGTAGGGTAATGGACCAGACCCCCAAGTCATACAGACCAATAAGTCTATCCTCTTTCCTAGCAAAAACGTTGGAAAGATTGATTAGACAGGTATATTAGGGACGAAGTGCTGATGGAGAATCCACTTAGCGATCGCCAATATGCATACCAGCCAGGAAAGTCAACTGACTTGGCGCTGGATGATCTTAACAGACTGCTCTCAAAGTCGCTAGATGACAAGGAGATAGCGGTGGCGACGTTTCTGGACGTGGAGGGAGCGTTTAATAACGTCTCCTTCGAGTCCTGTAACGAACGCGCTTAAAAGGAGAGGAGTTCCTGCCTTCATATGCGAGTGGACGAAGGCGACCTTAACAAACAGGATCATTGTGTCCTCGTTAGGTGAAGCCACTATTGAAGCGAAGGGCAGGAAGCGGCTGCCCACAAGGAGGAGTTTTATCCCCATTACTGTGGGCTACGCTTATGGACGACCTACTTAATACACTGTCCAGGGAGGGTTTTTACTGCCTGGGTTATGCGGACGATTTGGTAATTGTAGTCCGAGGACGCTTTACCAAAATAATTTCGGAGAGACTTCAAGTCGCTCTGAGGATGGTGGACAGCTGGTGTGAGGAAGAAGGCCTAAAGGTTAACCCTAAAAAAACATCTGTTGTTCCCTTCACCAGGAAAAGAGCACTGCAAGGCTTGCAACCACTAGCGCTCAAGGGAGTAGAAATCCCATTCACAAGTCAGGCCAAGTACTTAGGTGTAATATTCGACCAGAGGCTGACATGGAATGCACACATTCAGAAAGTCACACAGAAGGCCACTATGGCCCTGAATACATGTAGACGAATGTGTGGTAAGAATTGGGGGTTAAATCCTAAAATGAACCTCTGGTTATACACAAGGGTTATAAGGCCCATGATAACTTATGGTTCAGTGGCGTGGTGGAACAAAACGCAACAGTCCGGGGCGATTCGATTGCTCAGTAGCACACAAAGGCTTGCATGCTTGAGTGTTACAGGAGCCATGAGAACAGCCCCAACGGACGCGCTAGAAGTTCTGCTAAACCTACCACCTCTACATATATACATACAGAGTGAAGCCAGATCAACAGTACATCGGTTGATCCAAGGCCAAGCTCCAATAAGTATGATGCAGGGAGCTGATAACTTAAGGCTATACCAGGACATAAAGGCAGACCCCGTTCTAGGAATGCCTGTAGACCGAATGGTTACGAGGTATAGTTTTAACAAAAATTTTCAAATTACAATACCAAAAGAGAGGACTGGGAAACTGGTCCGCCGCTAACAGCAAACTCAATATGGTATACGGACGGCTCCAAAACGGATACAGGTACGGGGGCTGGAATATATGGCATAAAACCAAGGACGGAAGTCCGGGTATGTCTAGGAACATACGCGACCGTATTTCAAGCCGAATTAGCTGCTATACACAGGTGCGCTATGGAACTATCGGCCGAAATGTAGATAACGACTCCATCGTCATCTATTCGGATAGTCAAGCGGCTCTAAAGGCTCTCAGTTCGGTACAGGTCGATTCATGGCTGGTATGGAACTGTTTGGATGTCCTCTCTCAGGTAGGAAGTCGAAACAGGTTGACACTTGCCTGGGTGCCGGGACATAAGGGCCATCGTGGCAACGAGAAGGCCGTACGAATTGGCCCGAGAAGGCGCATCTACGCCACTGGTTGGTCCGGAACCCTTCTTTGGAATCGCAAATACGATAAAAAGGGCAGCCATACACAAATGGGTGCAACAGAAGTCTCTTGAGTGGTGGAACAACTCACCAGGACAGAGGCAGGCCAAACAGTTCATCAAAGAACATTCGGCTAAATTTACAGCAGACTTACTTTCGCACAGACGCAGGACTGTCAGAATGATAGTGGGTCTGCTCACTGGGCACTGTAGACTCAATAGACACTTGAGTCTCATAGGCCTGATAGAAGAGGACACCTGTCGTTTCTGTCTGGAAGAAGAGGAAACCGCTCTACACGTTCTGTGCCATTGCGAAGGTCTCGCACGAATGCGGTTTCTAGAACTCGGAGAGGAAAAACCGGAAGCACCAGGCTACATGAAAAGGCCACTATCAAGGCTGTTGAGTCTCATTAAGAGGACCAAGCTAGATGAAGTGCTTTAAAATAAGGGGGGAACACAATAGATCTGCAAAGGTCGCAGTGTATCAGGCTCTATTGGCCGCCCCATTTTCTACATTCTAGGTTAGCGAGGTGCTATGTTTTTTGGACTTTATTTTATGAAATGGAATCAATGAAAAAACTGGAATCATTCGAGCTGTGGATGTATATAAGATTTCTGAAAATATCGTGGACAGAACACGTCACAAACAAAGAGGTTCTGAGAAGGATGAATAAAGAAGTAGAAATTTTAAATACAATTAAAACAAGAAAATTGGAATATCTCGGACATATTACACGTGCAGATAAATACACCTTGCTCCAACTGATTATACAGGGAAAGATTCAAGGAATGAGAAGCATAGGGAGGCGTAGAATGTCATGGCTGCGCTACCTGAGAGAGTGGTATGGATGTAGGTACCTCAAATGAACTTTTCAGAGTAGCCGTCTCAAAAGTCCGCATAGCTATGATGATTGTCGACCTCCGCCGCGGAGATGACACTTGAAGAAGAAGAAGGATTCATCAGAGCGACTGGGTAGAAGCCCTGAACTTGAAATCTAATCGTTTCCGTCAAAGAAAGAATTAATAAAATAACTTCATATAGACGCTACGGTCTGCGGCGTCATCTGAGAATAAAAACAAAAAGTAGAAATACGAAGATATCTTAGTCACAGAATAATAAACAATTGTTTATTATTCTGTGTCTGTTTATTATTCTGTGTCTTAGTTTTCGAAACCAAAATTCAGATTATTGTATAAGCTGTATCTTCTACAACTTTCCAAGCGAAACAGACGATGAATGGACTGACCGAGTTACATCAACTTAATAATAATAGTATTTACCATACACTTTAAAAGCCTAATCACGCCTAATGTACACAAGAAACAAGATATGACGTAACACTGCAAATATTGTAACAGTTTATTACTTTCATCATTATGAAAGTGTAAATATAACAGTTACTATGAATACGATACAGCTGATACTTACTTCTATTTGACAGAAGGCGACATAAACAATTGTTATTACAATAGCGTTCATGTTTACGCTGTGCACCAACCACTAAAATACACTAAGCAGTCTTTCTTATTTTATAATTCATATCAATAGATAATGGAAGAGAGGTATACAAATCTCACCTATTGGACTGTACAACTGTAGCAATAAAATGTTATCTTTGGTAAGTATTGTTTATCGATGTTGTGAATCATGTACTATTTTTTTTATTTTTTGACTAATAGATAAAATGTACATATTTATTGGCCTTACCCTAATATATCTCTATCTTCTTTAAATATCTACATTTTTTATTTGTCACTAATCAGAAAATGATCAAGGAAAGAATCTTTATCAACAAATAAAACTGTATATCAATGACGCAGCAAAAGAAGCCTTAGATAAACTTGACAATGGAAAAATTAAACTTGACAAAAACGAAAATATTTTCACGAAGATCTCAGTACACAAAATATATGAAAAAAGCATATGGATATACGAAATTTTTTTCGTATATTTTTATTTAATAACAATTTAGGGGAGTGGTAGAAACACTGGGACGAAAAACTTTCAATGACAATAACTTTTTTATTAAATGCTTCTTTAAATTTATATTGTACAATAATATTTGGTATGTAAATAAGAACAGAAAAAACATGTCGTTTTCTGATAAAAATTACAGTTAAAACCTCAAAAATATTAAAATTAAAAGTTACTAAATGTCTCACTATTCCTTTCAATGTCGGAATACTGAGACGTAACAATTAACATTATTTGACGTTAAGACAATCAAGAACTATTATCAATACTCTTCAACAGTATATACAAGACTACTCAAAAAAAATGTAATGACTTTCGATTAATAAGTCTCATGCCCCATATTCTGAAGCTATTTCTAAAAATTATCCATAACAGAATTTACAAAAAATGCGAAGGAGATATGGGTCCGGAACAATTTGGCTTTCGAAACGGTATGGGAACTCGAGAAGCTTTGTTCAGTTTCATTGTTCTCATGCAAAAGTGTCGGGATCAACAAAAAGATGTCTACTTGTGCTTTATAGATAGATTTCTAAAAAAGAACCTAGATCCAAACGACATTAATACAATACGTGAACTCTACTGGAACCAAAACGCCTCTGTCAGAACTGAAATGGGTGATACTTAAACCATAAATATCCAAATAAGAGTTAGACAAGGTTGTATACTATCACCATTATTATTCAACTTGTACTCACAGGACATCTTGCACATACTCTAGATCAGTGGTCGCCAACCTCTTCAATGTGTTGAGCTACTTTGTTAATTTTAATAATTATATAATAATAATACACAGCGAATAGGAGCGAGGTATAAACAGCGATCTACCCACACGGAAGCCACGTAACGCAACGTAAATGAAATAATCCACAGTTAATCTATTATTATATGTATTTATTTTACTGTTTAACTGGTAATACATAATACATCATCACAGTCATTAACATCTTAGTAGATGTGTTGTGGTTCATAATTGGGCTTCAGCAGCTCGGACAGTTTGATTGATAATATTTCTCCACTGGTCGCGGTCATCAGTTATATGTATTGCCTCAGTATACTGTTTATTATATATAATACATAGGTACTAATAAAGAACTAATAACAAAATAACTAATATTACTAGTACGTACTTGTTCATAGCTACATTCCTACCTATCAAACGAAAGTATTTGAAAAATAAACACAAACTTTTATCCAGCCACAACGGCCTGTCACGTATGATTTAAAAATAGTTAATAATAACAACAAAAAAGTAACGCACTATCATAAACATAAACATTGAAAAATAAAAAAGCACGTTCATGAGAAGGCTGACACTCAGACTCATCAATAATTTTTTTAATGTTTGCAGTATAATTTGATGCAGCCATTCGAATACAATTATCCAAATGTTCATCTGTAAGTCGATAGCGATATTTGTTATTAATAAACATCATATTGGAAAAAGAAAATTCACAAAAATAGGTTGAACTGAATAATTCTTTTACTTTCAAGGCAACACGGCATAGAACTGAATATGTGTCTTTACTTACAATTGGCCAGATACATTATATCTGGCTTTTGAAACTCAATTACTTCCATTTCTGTTGCAGCGATGTCTTCGCCAAAGTTCTGCATAACACAAGCTGAAAACTGCTGGATATCAATGTCCATAAAGGGTGAAACAACAAACTGCGCTACTAAAGCCATTTCAATGAAATCCTTAAAACGATTTTTTGAAGTTACTCTTCAGGGTAGATTATTTCTTCAATTATTTCTACATGATATTTGTTGTCATAGGGTTCTAATGGATTTTGAAATATTTTTTCTGAAAGAATAGGAAAATGCTTGGAATTGCTGTTAATTAGGTTTTGTTCCCAAAACTCCAGCTTTTTGATAAATGTTTTTATATTAGAAATCATTTCCGCTAGTTCTTTGTCTCTCCCCTGAAGCTGCAAATTAAGTTCGTTTAATTTCTCTGTAATGTCCACGAGAAAACCAAAATCTCTAAGCCAGATTGAATTTTCTAGTTCCGGAGTCGGTTCATCGCGTTGTTTGAAAAATTGAACTATGCCAGATAGGACATCATTAAAACCTTTCAGCACCCGTCCTCTACTTAATCATCGGACTTCAGAGTGAAGGAGTAGGTCGCCGGCCAAGGTTCTGAATAATCTTCTTTGTAACGCTTGAGCTCTAATCTTGTTCACAATTTTTACCACCAGTTTCATAACGTTGTTTAGTTTCAGGAAATTTCCACATAATGCTTGCTGATGGATAATGCAGTGGTAACAGAGAAATAGCGGAAAAGTTTCGTCTTTACGACATAACGCCACCAGACCCTTATCACAACCCACCATAGCTGGAGCGTCATCGGTTGTCAAGCCTACCATTATCGATATTGGAATTTTCTCGGAAGAAATAATATTTTTTAAATAAGAAAACAACTCCTGTCCAGTTGTGTGTCCTTTCAGTGGAATGAACTTTAAAAGATCTTCTTTAATCGTAAAATCACTAAAAACCATCCTGACGAACACGGTCATCAGGGCAGTGTCAACGACATCTGTTGATTCATCCAGTTGAAGTGAAAAATAAACACAGTTATCTAAGTCAGTTCTTAACTGTAAGAAAATATCATTGCTCATTACTTCTACACGTTTCATCACTGTATTAGCAGAAAGTTGCATAGATTTTATAGTTGAAACTATCTCGTCTTTATTTCTAAAGTTGGCAAATAACGAATTAGCAGCTTCTAAAAACGCTTGTTTTATCATTTCCCCGTCTTCATAAGGTTTTTTTTGTGCAATTATCTGGGATACACGGTACGAGGCTTCAGTTGCAGTCTTATTTTTGTCGACTGTTCTTAAAAATATTGATTGTTGTCCAATTAACTGTTTTTTAACTGTTTCAGTTTCTCCTTTCTGGTGGCAGAATGTAGTGGGAATGATATTTCAAAATGAGAATGTACAGTTTTATGATGTCTCTCAATATTTCCTATTTTAGCAAAGGAGACCGAAGTATTACATAACAAACACACATTTTTATCTTTAACTTATTTAAAAAAGTATTGTTCTTCCCATTCCGAATGAAAGTGGTATGTCTTTACCTTCTTACAACTGCTTACCATAATATTATTTTTGTGGTTCTCTACTAACCCAACCGCTGGACGTTGGTTACGCGTTCAGTTTTAAACTAAGCGCAATGTCGCCGCGCCGTGCGTATTTATCCCGTTCAAAGCAATCCAGATCATTCTCGAATACTAACGCGCCGGTAAGCAAGCAATTTGATTGAACCCAGCCTATGAGAAATGTTCACCCAGGTAGTACGATCGGGTGTAACAATTCATTGGAGCAAGGTGTTTTAATTCGTGTTTAAAAACAGGAATCACCCCACCGTGCTCCAATGCTCTAGACCATCCCTTTCCCCCCTATAGCAATCTGATTCGCTATAGAGGCACAACAATCAGCCAAGTGCTCTTCATGTAGAGGTCCTGGGTAATTGAACCCCAACATGGTTTCCTAACCGTATGTGAAAACTCAGGACAGCGCATCTCCGCTTTATTCCTGTTTATCTTAATGTAGCTTATCCGCGAACTAAAATTGCTTACTTGGGCCTCAAGTCTCCGCTCTGAGTCCCGGCTCAGTTCGGAGACTTGGTGCTCAAGGAGGTTGGGCCCTACGTGCCCGGGTTTTGGGGTTTTTTTTAATTTTTTTTGGTGGCCGAAGCCGGTTTTTGTTAGTATTTTTTTTTATTTTTTTGGTGGCCGAAGCCGTTTTTTGTGTTTTTTGTGATTTTTTTTGCTAACGCGCTGGTCCGGCTGGTCGGTTCTATAAATAGCCGATTCTAGCTTGACGGCGTCAGGGGCAAGATCGCTCACCGCAACGTTGCCGCTGTTTATGTTTAATATTATGACAATTAGATTTTTTTGTGGAATTTTCGGAAGCTCGTCTGATTTTTGCAGTTTGTATTTTTTAAACTAAAATCGTTGTGAGAGCTACCAGAATTGCCTCCGCGAGCTACCGGTAGCTCGCGATCGACAGGTTGGCGACCACTGCTCTAGATGAAGCACAAGAAGGAATAAATGTCAATAGAAAAATCGTGAACAATATCAGGTATGCCGATGATACAGTACTGATTGCTGGCAGTGAAGAAGAACTACAAATTCTGTTAACCAAAGTAGTGCAAGAAGGAGAACTATACGGCCTTAAGGGGAATGTAAAAAAAACCAAAACAATGGTAATTTCAAAAAAACACACACTAGGTATAAACATACTAGTCAACAACAATCTAGTTGAACAAGTGAAAAAGTTTAAGTATCTAGGCTGTTGGATACATGAAACCTTAGACCAAGAACAAGAGGTTAAATGTAGAATAGCATAGGCAAGAAACACCATCTTAAAGATGCGACAGTTACTCACTACCCGTAATCTTGATTTGTCCCTACGATACCGCATGATAAAGTGTTATGTATATAGTGTACTATTACACGGCGTGGAAGCTTGGACGTTAACAGTCAGCTCGTTACGACGTTTAGAGAGCTTTGAGATGTGGGTATTTCGTCGTATGTTGAAAATTCCATGGATCGACCACGTTAAACATGAAGAAGTTTTGAGGCGTATGAATAGAGAACGTGAACTCACAGAAATTGTCAAGAAGCGTAAGACGTTTTAT